ACCTAACTTAGGACTGTCGTGTCCACCTAACTTAGGACTGTCGTTTCCACCTAACTTAGGACTGTCGTGTCCACCTAACTTAGGACTGTCGTGTCCACCTAACGTAGGACTGTCTTGTCCACTTAACTTAGGACTGTCGTGTCCACTTAACTTAGGACTGTCCTGTCCACCTAACTTAGGACTGTCGTGTCCACCTAACTTAGGATTGTCGTGTCCACTTAGGACTGTCGTGTCCACCTAACTTAGGATTGTCGTGTCCACTTAGGAATGTCGTGTCCATCTAACTTAGGACTGTCGTGTCCACCTAACTTAGGACTGTCGTGTCCACCTAACTTAGGACTGTCGTGTCCACCTAACTTAGGACTGTCGTGTCCACCTAACTTAGGACTGTCGTGTCCACCTAACTTAGGACTCTCGTGTCCACCTAACTTAGGACTGTCTTGTCCACCTAACTTAGGATTGTCGTGTCCACTTAGGAATGTCGTGTCCATCTAACTTAGGACTGTCGTGTCCACCTAACTTAGGACTGTCGTGTCCACCTAACTTAGGACTGTCGTGTCCACCTAACTTAGGACTGTCGTGTCCACTTAGGACTGTCGTGTCCACCTAACTTAGGACTGTCGTGTCCACCTAACTTAGGACTGTCGTGTCCACCTAACTTAGGACTGTCGTGTCCACTTAGGACTGTCGTGTCCACCTAACTTAGGATTGTCGTGTCCACTTAGGACTGTCGTGTCCATCTAACTTAGGACTGTCGTGTCCACCTAACTTAGGACTGTCGTGTCCACTTAGGACTGTCGTGTCCATCTAACTTAGGACTGTCGTGTCCACTTAGGACTGTCGTGTCCACCTAACTTATAATGGCTTACATCAGCTGCTCTCCGTTGAACCGTTGTGGGTTTGTTGACTATGTTTACACCCACATGAAATTTTACTTTCTCGTATATACGAAGTATAGAGAAAGTCTTGTAATCGTGCAAAAAAAAATATTTTTACAAATCTCGACGTTTTACACCTCACTGATACGGAAAAACAAAATTTTGCAATCTTGTCTGTGTGTCTGTCTGTCTGTGTGTCTGTCTGTCTGTGTGTCTGTCTGTCTGTGTGTAAACACGATAACTTGAGTACCGTTACAGATAGGTTGATGAAATTTCATATATAAGTATTTTATAAAAATCGTAGATCCTGATCAACTTTTGAGCGATTTCCGATAACCGGAAGTGGTACTTTTCCTACTTTGAATTTTTTAAAAAGCCTATAATTTGAGTACTATTTCAGATAGATAAATGAAATTTCACATTTAAGTAAAATATCTAATTATTTACCTTCTATCAAATTTTACGCTATTTCCGATTTCTCAAAAAAAACGCATGTAAATTTATAGTACTCATAATATTGCGCACTATTATGCACATTTTATTAGGCGTTCACTTGGTGTTCAATTCTTTTTTTTTTTACGAGATTCCATTCTATTATAAAAAGTTTAAGTAATTAAAAATGGATTACAAATATTGTCTATGTCCTGAGTTGCCATCCCTCGTAGAGAAAGTTTAGGGGAGATCATTCCCGGTTTATTTTCTCAGCCACAATGACCACTTGTAGCGCAGGTTGCTGTACTATTGAACTTTAGCTTTCGTCTAGTCTTTGAGCTTCACAATCGATTTTAGCTTGTCAACTCACACAAATTAGCAGTATCGATATCAGTACAAGCTAAACACAGAATGTTTTTATACAAAAATATTGATGCACTTTATGAGTAACACAAACTAACTGTGCGTAAATCTGATGGATAAAAAGAAAACCAATGGTCCGAATGTTTTATTTTAGCTATACTTTCCTTTACCTTATGTTTGTTCATTAAGGCCTTGTGTTTGTTCATTAAGGCCTTGTGTTTGTTCATTATGGCCTTGTGTTTGTTCATTATGGCCTTGTGTTTGTTCATTATGGCCTTGTGTTTGTTCATTATGGCCTTGTGTTTGTTCATTATGGCCTTGTGTTTGTTCATTATGGCCTTGTGTTTGTTCATTATGGCCTTGTGTTTGTTCATTATGGCCTTGTGTTTGTTCATTATGGCCTTGTGTTTGTTCATTATGGCCTTGTGTTTGTTCATTATGGCCTTGTGTTTGTTCATTATGGCCTTGTGTTTGTTCATTATGGCCTTGTGTTTGTTCATTATGGCCTTGTGTTTGTTCATTATGGCCTTGTGTTTGTTCGTCTGTATACCATTGTTTTGTGTACTTAATTGCTGATGTACAGATTTTTTTAAACGATTCAATTATTGGGGGAGAGCCTAGCTATGTACCCGATAAGCGATACGGGAGTTACTATTTTTTAGATGTCAATTAGGATCTTTGGTCAAAATGCTAGTGCCAGATGTCACATTGTTCCAATGCTAGTGCCAGATGTCATATTGTTCCAATGCTAGTGCCAGATGTCACATTGTTCCAATGCTAGTGCCAGATGTCATATTGTTCCAATGCTAGTGCCAGATGTCATATTGTTCCAATGCTAGTGCCAGATGTCATATTGTTCCAATGCTAGTGCCAGATGTCATATTGTTCCAATGCTAGTGCCAGATGTCACATTGTTCCAATGCTAGTGCCAGATGTCACATTGTTCCAATGCTAGTGCCAGATGTCACATTGTTCCAATGCTAGTGCCAGATGTCATATTGTTCCATGTAAGCTAGGAGATGACACTGTGTAGACTTGAAATGTTCTCCCCTTATATTTATCTGAATGGGTCCCAGCTGACCAACCAACGATGGTGTCAATCTGTTTCTAGACACTTGGGTACAACATCATGTCCGTAACCCAGCTGACCAACCAACGATGGTGTCAATCTGTTTCTAGACACTTGGGTACAACATCATGTCCGTAACCCAGCTGACCAACCAACGATGGTGTCAATCTGTTTCTAGACACTTGTTTACAACATCATGTCCGTAACCCAGCTGACCAACCAACGATGGTGTCAATCTGTTTCTAGACACTTGGGTACAACATCATGTCCGTAACCCAGCTGACCAACCAACGATGGTGTCAATCTGTTTCTAGACACTTGGGTACAACATCATGTCCGTAACCCAGCTGACCAACCAACGATGGTGTCAATCTGTTTCTAGACACTTGGGTACAACATCATGTCCGTAACCCAGCTGACCAACCAACGATGGTGTCAATCTGTTTCTAGACACTTGGGTACAACATCATGTCCGTAACCCAGCTGACCAACCAACGATGGTGTCAATCTGTTTCTAGACACTTGGGTACAACATCATGTCCGTAACCCAGCTGACCAACCAACGATGGTGTCAATCTGTTTCTAGACACTTGGGTACAACATCATGTCCGTAACCCAGCTGACCAACCAACGATGGTGTCAATCTGTTTCTAGACACTTGGGTACAACATCATGTCCGTAACCCAGCTGACCAACCAACGATGGTGTCAATCTGTTTCTAGACACTTGGGTACAACATCATGTCCGTAACCCAGCTGACCAACCAACGATGGTGTCAATCTGTTTCTAGACACTTGGGTACAACATCATGTCCGTAACCCAGCTGACCAACCAACGATGGTGTCAATCTGTTTCTAGACACTTGGGTACAACATCATGTCCGTAACCCAACTGACCAACCAACGATGGTGTCAATCTGTTTCTAGACACTTGGGTACAACATCATGTCCGTAACCCAGCTGACCAACCAACGATGGTGTCAATCTGTTTCTAGACACTTGGGTACAACATCATGTCCGTAACCCAACTGACCAACCAACGATGGTGTCAATCTGTTTCTAGACACTTGGGTACAACATCATGTCCGTAACCCAGCTGACCAACCAACGATGGTGTCAATCTGTTTCTAGACACTTGTTTACAACATCATGTCCGTAACCCAGCTGACCAACCAACGATGGTGTCAATCTGTTTCTAGACACTTGGGTACAACATCATGTCCGTAACCCAACTGACCAACCAACGATGGTGTCAATCTGTTTCTAGACACTTGGGTACAACATCATGTCCGTAACCCAACTGACCAACCAACGATGGTGTCAATCTGTTTCTAGACACTTGGGTACAACATCATGTCCGTAACCCATGCGAAATTTCTCTTTATCGATTCTTTCATCCCAGCGTCGCAGTCGACCCTAGCGTCCAAAATAATTACTGGCAAGAAAATCACCTTTAATTATTTCCTAATTATTGGGTAATCGCTCTCTCTTCCATTCTTCTATCCCTCTGTTGCTCTGTCGATCTTAAGGCCTCGTTGAAATATATGAAGACCAACTATTAAAATATTTGACTTTTTTTTTTCGTTAGGACCTCCGTAAATCTAGCTCTGTTACTCTGGCTATGTCCAAAAAATTGGTTCGCCAGAGTTTGAACACAATAATATGCAATGTGTTCAACCCACGCACTGAGCACCCTTTTAAGGCTCGTCATCCCTCGACACTACCTCAATAACAATCTATGGTTAATGACTAAAGATCTCTGACAAAAGAACTTAAACCAAAAATAGACTAGACAAAATCTCATAGAGCACAGACAAAAGATGTCGGGACACAATATCTACAGCTGAAACAATTAGATTAGCGAAACATTCAATATTTATAGTTGTGTTGTCTCGCACTATACAGTGTTACATTATTGGATTAGGTTACTCATCACTAATTAACAAACCCAAATCACTAAACAAATAAAATTAAAACATTGTTTTTTTTTTTTTTTGTTCTTTTTTTTTTTGTTTAGGGGCAAAATAAAGGTTGCATATATTTAAAAATTATGTACACGTCATTTATGTTCTATACATTTAAAATTATGTACATTTCATTTTTGTTCAAAACGGTGATTTGGTCTGCCGCATTACTTGGTCACATCAGCTAATGTTTTTATAACATCAATTATTTCTTTTTGAACACATTTTACGTTTAGACTCAATGTACAGCATATGAAAAATGGTTTAAACAATGGTTTTTGTTCTGATTGTCCAGGTGGTTCTAGCCAGCACACCGGACCTGCAATGTGGCTATTCTCGTGATCTGTTCGTGGCCTGGTGTGGTAACAGCAAGAACAGCATCATCCTAACCAATCGCACGTCACCCGGGACCCTTGCCAGATGGCTGATTGACAACCCTCAGGACCATGTCGTCAGGCTTGAGGTCAGTCGATCCACCCAGCCTTCTGTCTGTACATTCTTTACACCATACACTACAGCCTTCTCTCTGTACAATCTTTACACCATACACTACAGCCTTCTCTCTGTACAATCTTTACACCATACACTACAGCCTTCTCTCTGTACAATCTTTACACCATACACTACAGCCTTCTCTCTGTACAATCTTTACACCATACACTACAGCCTTCTGTCTGTACATTCTTTACACCATACACTACAGCCTTCTCTCTGTACAATCTTTACACCATACACTACAGCCTTCTGTCTGTACATTCTTTACACCATACACTACAGCCTTCTCTCTGTACAATCTTTACACCATACACTACAGCCTTCTCTTTGTACATTCTTTACACCATACACTACAGCCTTCTCTCTGTACAATCTTTACACCATACACTACAGCCTTCTGTCTGTACATTCTTTACACCATACACTACAGCCTTCTCTCTGTACAATCTTTACACCATACACTACAGCCTTCTCTCTGTACAATCTTTACACCATACACTACAGCCTTCTCTCTGTACAATCTTTACACCATACACTACAGCCTTCTCTCTGTACAATCTTTACACCATACACTACAGCCTTCTCTCTGTACATTCTTTACACCATACACTACAGCCTTCTCTCTGTACAATCTTTACACCATACACTACAGCCTTCTCTCTGTACAATCTTTACACCATACACTACAGCCTTCTCTCTGTACAATCTTTACACCATACACTACAGCCTTCTCTCTGTACAATCTTTACACCATACACTACAGCCTTCTCTCTGTACAATCTTTACACCATACATTACATCCTTCTGTCTTTACAATCTTTACACCATACACTACAGCCTTCTCTCTGTACAATCTTTACACCATACACTACAGCCTTCTCTCTGTACAATCTTTACACCATACACTACAGCCTTCTCTCTGTACAATCTTTACACCATACACTACAGCCTTCTCTCTGTACAATCTTTACACCATACACTACAGCCTTCTCTCTGTACAATCTTTACACCATACACTACAGCCTTCTCTCTGTACAATCTTTACACCATACACTACAGCCTTCTCTCTGTACAATCTTTACACCATACACTACAGCCTTCTCTCTGTACAATCTTTACACCATACACTACAGCCTTCTCTCTGTACAATCTTTACACCATACACTACAGCCTTCTCTCTGTACATTCTTTACACCATACACTACAGCCTTCTCTCTCTACAATCTTTACACCATACACTACAGCCTTCTCTCTGTACAATCTTTACACCATACACTACAGCCTTCTCTCTGTACAATCTTTACACCATACACTACAGCCTTCTCTCTGTACAATCTTTACACCATACACTACAGCCTTCTCTCTGTACAATCTTTACACCATACACTACAGCCTTCTGTCTGTACAATCTTTACACCATACTCTACAGCCTTCTCTCTGTACAATCTTTACACCATACACTACAGCCTTCTCTCTGTACAATCTTTACACCATACACTACAGCCTTCTCTCTGTACAATCTTTACACCATATACTACAGCCTTCTCTCTGTACAATCTTTACACCATACACTACAGCCTTCTCTCTGTACAATCTTTACACCATACACTACAGCCTTCTCTCTGTACAATCTTTACACCATATACTACAGCCTTCTCTCTGTACAATCTTTACACCATACACTACAGCCTTCTCTCTGTACAATCTTTATACCATACACTACAGCCTTCTCTCTGTACAATCTTTACACCATACACTACAGCCTTCTCTCTGTACAATCTTTACACCATACACTACAGCCTTCTCTCTCTACAATCTTTACACCATACACTACAGCCTTCTCTCTGTACAATCTTTACACCATACACTACAGCCTTCTCTCTGTACAATCTTTACACCATACACTACAGCCTTCTCTCTCTACAATCTTTACACCATACACTACAGCCTTCTCTCTGTATAATCTTTACACCATACACTACAGCCTTCTCTCTGTACAATCTTTACACCATATACTACAGCCTTCTCTCTGTACAATCTTTACACCATACACTACAGCCTTCTCTCTGTACAATCTTTACACCATACACTACAGCCTTCTCTCTGTACAATCTTTACACCATACACTACAGCCTTCTCTCTCTACAATCTTTACACCATACACTACAGCCTTCTCTCTGTACAATCTTTACACCATACACTACAGCCTTCTCTCTGTACAATCTTTACACCATACACTACAGCCTTCTCTCTGTACAATCTTTACACCATACACTACAGCCTTCTCTCTGTACAATCTTTACACCATACACTACAGCCTTCTCTCTGTACAATCTTTACACCATACACAACAGCCTTCTCTCTGTACAATCTTTACACCATACACTATAGCCTTCTCTCTGTACAATCTTTACACCATACACTATAGCCTTCTGTCTGTACAATCTTTACACCATACACTACAGCCTTCTCTCTGTACAATCTTTACACCATACACTACAGCCTTCTCTCTGTACAATCTTTACACCATACACTACAGCCTTCTCTCTGTACAATCTTTACACCATATACTACAGCCTTCTCTCTGTACAATCTTTACACCATACACTACAGCCTTCTCTCTGTACAATCTTTACACCATACACTACAGCCTTCTCTCTGTACAATCTTTACACCATACACTACAGCCTTCTCTCTGTACAATCTTTACACCATACACTACAGCCTTCTAATTTTTCCACCTTAGGTTTGAATCTTTCCTCTGACCCCTCATTTTTCCACCTTAGGTTTGAACCTTTCCTCTGACCCCTCATTTTTTCACCTTAGGTTTGAACCTTTCCTCTGACCCCTCATTTATTCACCTTAGGTTTGAACCATTCCTCTGACCCCTCATTTATTCACCTTAGGTTTGAACCTTTCCTCTGACCCCTCATTTATTCACCTTAGGTTTGAACCTTTCCTCTGACCCCTCATTTATTCACCTTAGGTTTGAACCTTTCCTCTGACCCCTCTTCTATGCACCATTATCAATATGAAAGCCGTCTCTGTTGTTTTCCCACGGCCTGCAGGAATTAAACTGAGTTTCCTTGTGAGCCATTATAAATAATCTCTAGCTCGTGGCGCTCAGACAGTTTAGCCCGGTCACCCTCCAATTTCAAGACATTTGCCATAGAATTATACAAGCTGGCAATACCAGTTATTCTTGCTTCTTCGGTATTTATTAATAGAACATTGATCACGGTATGAGCAGGTCAAAGATGATTGGCTTCTGATAGTGTTTGGTGTCTTACGTAACTGCGTGGGTGGCTTGCATAATTGTCTTGGTTGTTTGCATTCAGTAGAACAATATACATGTTGTGCCGTTTCGGTTTGTATTTGTCTTTGTTATGTTTAGTGCAGTCAGGTTTTTATATGGGGGAGGTGGGTAGTGTAGTAGAATGTTGTGTGGAGGTGGTGCAGTATTATCTTGTGGGGGTAGTGTAGTGGTGTCTGGGGGTAGAGTAGTGGTGTCTTGTGTGGGGGTAGTGTAGTGGTGTCTTGTGTGGGGGTAGTGTAGTGGTGTCTGGGGGTAGTGTAGTGGTGTCTTGTGTGGGGGTAGTGTAGTGGTGTCTTGTGTGGGGGTAGTGTAGTGGTGTCTTGTGTGGGGGTAGTGTAGTGGTGTCTTGTGTGGGGGTAGTGTAGTGGTGTCTTGTGTGGGGGTAGTGTAGTGGTGTCTTGTGTGGGGGTAGTGTAGTGGTGTCTTGTGTGGGGGTAGTGTAGTGATGTCTGGGGGTAGTGTAGTGATGTCTGGGGGTAGTGTAGTGATGTCTGGGGGTAGTGTAGTGATGTCTGGGGGTAGTGTAGTGGTGTCTGGGGGTAGTGTAGTGGTGTCTGGGGGTAGTGTAGTGATGTCTGGGGTAGTGTAGTGATGTCTGGGGGTAGTGTAGTGGTGTCTTGTGTGGGGGTAGTGTAGTGGTGTCTTGTGTGGGGGTAGTGTAGTGGTGTCTTGTGTGGGGGTAGTGTAATGATGTCTGGGGGTAGTGTAGTGGTGTCTTGTGTGGGGGTAGTGTAGTGGTGTCTTGTGTGGGGGTAGTGTAGTGGTGTCTTGTGTGGGGGTAGTGTAGTGGTGTCTCGTGTGGGGGTAGTGTAGTGGTGTCTTGTGTGGGGGTAGTGTAGTGGTGTCTTGTGTGGGGGTAGTGTAGTGGTGTCTTGTGTGGGGGTAGTGTAGTGGTGTCTTGTGTGGGGGTAGTGTAGTGGTGTCTTGTGTGGGGGTAGTGTAGTGGTGTCTTGTGTGGGGGTAGTGTAGTGGTGTCTTGTGTGGGGGTAGTGTAGTGGTGTCTTGTGTGGGGGTAGTGTAGTGGTGTCTTGTGTGGGGGTAGTGTAGTGGTGTCTTGTGTGGGGGTAGTGTAGTGGTGTCTTGTGTGGGGGTAGTGTAGTGGTGTCTCGTGTGGGGGTAGTGTAGTGATGTCTGGGGTAGTGTAGTGATGTCTGGGGGTAGTGTAGTGATGTCTGGGGGTAGTGTAGTGATGTCTCGTGTGGGGGTAGTGTAGTGATGTCTGGGGTAGTGTAGTGATGTCTGGGGGTAGTGTAGTGGTGTCTGGGGGTAGTGTAGTGATGTCTGGGGGTAGTGTAGTGGTGTCTGGGGTAGTGTAGTGGTGTCTGGGGGTAGTGTAGTGATGTCTGGGGGTAGTGTAGTGGTGTCTGGGGGTAGTGTAGTGATGTCTGGGGTAGTGTAGTGGTGTCTTGTGTGGGGGTAGTGTAGTGGTGTCTTGTGTGGGGGTAGTGTAGTGGTGTCTCGTGTGGGGGTAGTGTAGTGATGTCTTGTGTGGGGGTAGTGTAGTGGTGTCTTGTGTGGGGGCAGTGTAGTGGTGTCTCGTGTGGGGGTAGTGTAGTGATGTCTGGGGTAGTGTAGTGATGTCTGGGGGTAGTGTAGTGATGTCTGGGGGTAGTGTAGTGATGTCTGGGGGTAGTGTAGTGATGTCTTGTGTG